GTTTTGTGTCGGCCCCAGGGGGGGACAGTTGCAGCGGGCAGCGCAGTAGCCTGTTCACCAAGACTCGAGGCCGAGATCAGGTCCAGCCGGTATTTGAAAGAGAGAGAGGACCTCCGCATCATGCTTCGTGAAAGGAGCACTTTTCTATACCTGCGCGCGCGGTAAGACCAAGGGGGCCCCCGAGCCAGGACAGTTATCAGAAGGGTCTCGCGGAGGGTCGGGCCGAACGAAAGACGGGGATAGGGATAGGGTGGTTACGACATTTGCTGCGTGCAGCTGGTTTCGGCCCCGCCGCCGGGCCCATTCCTCGATACACGGGCGCCTCCCGGCGCTGGGAGGCGCTGGGAAAATCAGCTACGTGAGTTGATGCTCTACCCTGCCCTCTGCTATCCCCCGAGAGGGGCCTGGGCAAAGGGAGAGGGCCGAGCAGATTCTCGACACCCCTTGCGGAACGCATGCCAAATTATGTGAGGGCCTGCGTCCATTGCTCTGGGGTTTCGCGGGCCTCTCGAGTCTAGAGGTCTCCAGTGGGCTCCTCGAGAGGTATCCTCTTACACAATTAAGTCGGGCCTCTCCCTCTACAGGAGGAGTATCCAAAAATAGAGACGATTACATATCTATCTAAAGTAGTCGGGGGACGATTACATATCTATCTACACATATATATATATATATATATATTTATTTGAGCATTTGTTGAGCAGTCTTTGACTCTTTTCAATTGTTGGTCCAATATCCCCCTGTAGGGGGACATGACATGCCCGATCTAAGCCTAGAGGTCTCCTGTTGGCTCCTCGAGAGGTATTCTCTTATACAACTGAAAATCGGGTGAGCTTGTAAAGCCAAAGCGGGCCTCAGACTTGCAATGCTTGGGAAAAGGGCGGGTACAGCGTCTGCTGCCGGCCGCCAGTTTCGGCCCCGTCGCCTGCCACATTCCCTCGATGCACCGGCGCCTCTGGACGATTCTTGCTTCTTGGGGCTGTTTTGGGGGATTGTTGGAGGCTTCATGGGGCAGCTTGGAGGCATCTTGGGCCATTTGGACGCCATCGCGGGCGCGTTAGAACGATCTTTCGGCGGGCCGGAGCCTTCTGGGGCTGGCTTGAGGGCCTCTTGGGAGGACTCCAAGGCTGTCTCGGCGCTCCAAGTTCGGGGGAGCGTAAGACCCGGGTTTGCCGGGACTCGGGTTCGCCACCGTTTTTTGACGACCGCGCCTCGGATTTTGACGAGGAGGAGTTTCGTGGGATGTCTGCAGCAGGAGGCCTCGTCAAAATGCAGGCTCGGCCTCGTCATTTTTTTGACGACCTCGTCGGGGATTTCCGAGTCCCCCGTACCCGGGTCTTACGTCTCCCCGACAAGTGTGGCCCGAGGTGGGCGCCGGAGGGCGCCATGCACGGCAGCTGCGGAGGCGGAACTTGCTGGCACCCTCTTTTCGCTGCCCTCCCCTTTCGTCCGACCCGACCCGGTGCCCTGGCGACGCGCACCCGAGTTCCCGAGTCATCGGATGAGCGGCGCAAGGAACTCTCGCCGACTGCGCGTAAGCGGTCCTCTCCTCCTCTTCCTTCTTTCCTCCTCCTCATGCTCCTCCTCGTCCTCCTCCTCCTCCTCCTTCTCCTCCTCCTCCTCCCCTGAAGTTCCCAGTGCTGCACTACCCCTGCCCCGGCAACTGCCCCCCCCCCCCCCCCCCCCCCGGGGTCGGCTGCGCCGACATCCGCGCGTAAGCTGTCCGCGTCGGGTTGCGCCTAAGCGCTATGGCTTCCAGTGCAGAGTGCCGCGCCAGCGGCCCGCGGGAGCCGTGGCTCGAGGTCGCGACACCATCTCGCGTCAGGCCCCTTTCTGATCGTCGTGCCAGTGGTGCCGTCGCAGGTGCTCCAGTCGGCGGTCTGGGGGCTGACTCTCCTCTACGTTTTCCCGCGTGCGCTGCGCAGGGCACGCCGGCGGCAGCCAGTCACCACCCACCAAACCACCCCAACCCAACCCGAAGGCTCAGATTTGCCCTCGATTTCTAGTGGGGGGGGGCGGGAAACATCGAAAAAGCACATGTGGAACCCTTACCCCCCCCAACCCGAAATTCGGGTCTTCGGGTTGGGTTGGGGTGGTCTGGGAGGCAGTCAGCCAGAGCGCGGAGGTGGTGCCACGGTCTGCTCCCAGGCAGCGTCGCGGCGCGCAGGATGGGAGTTCCCTGCGCTGCTGCGTGCAGCGGGTGTCGGCCCCGCCGGCTGGGCGCTCTCCTCGATGCAGGATCGCCTCTCCAGCGCGGGGGGGGTCGCCGGAAATTCAGCTGCATGGTGGCATGCAGCCAACCAGCTGGTGCGCTACCCCCCCCCCACCCCCTGCTGTCTTTTGCGTTTGTCCGCCCCGATCGGAGCCTCGAGCGATCGAGGATGGATCGTCGAGGTTGCAGGATCGAGGGTCTTGGCTCGAGGATCGATCGTCGAGGTCTGAGCATCGAGGATTGAGGTTGGTTTGCTGCTTCTGTTTGGCTTCTGGAGGGCTTCGCACG